CTGGCATCCACTTAGGTCTTTTATTTCTCTCCTATCTTTATAATGACATTTTGCTTTCTTCTTATAAGATATTCTTGATGTCATCCCACAGCTCTTCTGGTCTTCAGTCACTAGTGTCTAATGCATCAAATATGTTCTTAGGGTAATTTCTGTATTTAGGTGAGATATAGATAAGATCATATTTTGACTCTCATGGACTTGTTTTAATTTTCTTCAGCTTCAGCCTGAGCATGCATGTAAGCAGTTGACAGTCTGTTTCAGTCTTCCCCGGTCTTGTTTTGAGCTTAACACCATCTCTTCCAACAGATAATGGTCAATTTGATTTCTGTGTATTCCATCTGATGAGGTCTGTGTGTATTGTTGCCTTTTATGTTGTTTAAAAAGGATATTTACAGTGAAAAAGTCATTAGTTTTACAGTGAAGAGTCATTGGTCTTGCAAACTTCTATCATGTACTCTCCATTATCATTTCTATCATTAAGGTCATATTTTCCAACTACTGATCCTTCCTATTTGTTTCCAACCATTGCATTCCAGTCACCAGTAATTATCAATATATCTTGATTACCTGTTTTATCAAATCAAGACTGAGGAACTTGATTTGTTTTTGTTTGTGAAGTGCCGTCGAGTCGGTTCTGACCCATACCAATGATAGGGTTTCCAAGTTGCAGCTGGTGAGCTTGAACTGCTGACCTTGCTGTTCAAATGGCTTTTCAGTCTGGCGCATTAATCCACAGCACCACACAAGAACTCCCTAGCTAGAATTGTTCAGTTTTTATCATTACTGGCATTAGTGGTTGGTATGTAAGTTTGAATAGTAGTAGTGTATTAACTGGTCTCTCCTGTTGTTGTTTGCACCCATGGTGAGCCTATGTAGGCTTTCGGTGAATGACTGGTGGGCTTGAAATGACAGCCTTGTGGTTACCAGTCCAGTGCTTATTCTACAGAACCACATTAGGACTTGGTCTTTGTTGTTGTTGTTGTTGTTGTTATGTGCCATCGAGTCGGTTCCGACCCATAGCGACCCTGTATAGGGTTACCGAGGGTGTAAATCTTTACGGGAGTAGAAAGCCTCATCTTTCTCCCGTGGAGCAGCTGGTAGTTTCGAACCGCTGACCTTAAGGTTCACAGCCCAATTCGTAACCACTACGCTACCAGTGCTGCCTTTGTTGTAGGTATATGGATATTGCCCTGTCACAGACAGCATTGCTCTTCAGTATAGATCATGAAATGTTCTTTTTGATGATAAATGTGACATCATTCCTCTTCAATTTGTCTATCCAGATTGTTGTCAGACTCAAAATGGCTAATACCAATCCATTTCAGCTGAGTAATGCCTAGGATATCAATCTTTATGTATTCCATTTCATTTATGTATTCCATTTCAAAATTTCCTAGATTCATACTCTTAACATTACAAGTTCCTGCTGCTAATAGTTGTTCACAGCCTTTTCTCCTCATTTTGAGTTGTGCCCCATCAGCAAATGAAGGTCCTAAAAGCTTTATTTCATTTACATCATTATGATCAACTATTCTTTGAGGAATCAATTCTTCCTCATTCATACTCCTGAGGTACTCATTTTCAGCACAATACCTAACAGTATTCTGGTGCTATTAATAATGTTTTCATCTTCCAGTACTATATCTGACAGTGCGCCACAGCTATTCATAAGAATTTAGTGGCTAAACATTCATAATTAGTCCACCTCCCCTTCTTCATAGTCTTATCTTAGTCTGGAAGTTCTGCAAAAACCTTTCCGCAATGTGTGACCCTGCTGGTATTTAAAATACTGGTGGCATAACTTCCAGCATCATAGCAACATGCAAGCCAATGTAGTATGATAAACTGACAGGCGATTGGTGAGAAGAATGGTTGGTGGGTTTGAACTGCTGACCTTTGGTCAGCTGTGCATTGCTTACCCTATAGTGCTACACCAGAGCTCCAATACCGTCATGTTGTTGTTGTTGTTATGTGCCGTGGAGTCAGTTCCGACTCATAGCGACTCTGTACAGGGTTTCCGAGGCTGTAAATCTTTACGGGAGCAGAAAGCCTCATCTTTCTCCCCTGGAACAGCTGGTAGTTTTGAACTGCTGACTCTGAGGTTAGCAGCCCGATTCGTAACCACTACGCTACCAGAGCTCCTCAATACCTTCCCTAGACCCTCCGTATCTCTGCAATTATAGAAGGTAATCTTGATATATCAAAAGACTTCCAAGTCAGCAGTGGTTGTTAGATATTAAGTATTATAACTATAACCACAGCAGGAAATGAATGCTTTTTGTAAAGTTAAAGGATCATTGAGTGAGACGGACTAGAGCCCTAATCACAGTTTTGTCATGAGGCAGCTATGTCATTTAATTTCCATTAACTATGTGGCCTCAGCTCTAAAATCAGATCAATACCTACCAAAACATAGGATAATTATAAGATGTACTAAGGTTCTGAAGCTAGTGTAATCTATGTTGTCTTTAAAATTGTTTTCACTAATTTACCTTTTGTGGTTTTATATCTTTAAATATATTAATATTGCATAATATAAGAGAATCAAATACCTGATCCATAACTCTGAATGTGAAGCAACTAAGTCCTATATCTCTAAAATGATTTCAGAAATGAGAAGAATTTAATCCTGTAAGGAGGGAGGCCAACATTCAACATATTTTCACTTTTGCATATTTTTTCTCAACTAAGTTATAAGACAAGTTTGAGAATTTGTAAAAATTTATAAAAAAAAAAAGTCAGGATCCTCTGACTTCCTCCAGCTGTATGAGGTTGTGGAGAATCATGATCAGCATCAGCAGCTCAAAACTGATTTCTCTGAATTAGAGGTCAGACTTTCTTCCGCTCTCCAACCTTTTTACCAACTCTGACACCAGTCATGTGTCCCACAGCACTCTGCTTATCTGCTGCGTTCAGTGATTCATTGCAGTGGTCACACAGAACTCAAAGATTAATACTCAGAATTACTGGATTTACTAAAGAAGTGTCAACGATTATGGCCACAGAGTCTCTATTAAAGCAAAGACTAGAACAATTAGAATCTGAGATTCACCAGGATTCACGACATTCTGAGGGAGAAGCAAGTTCTCTATATTATAAATTGGGGTATGACATACCTGACTACAATCATGAGGGCTTGTGATTACACAGACAACAGCAAATTTAAAATTTACAACATTAGTTGATTTATTTTCTAACAAAGATTTCTTGGAGTCAACTTAGTAAGTTATATACTAGGGAAAGTCAAAAAGTACTTTTACAAGGTTCCAGTTCATATAAGACTGGAACCCTGTAACGTTTAAATATGGATCTCTGCAATCAGTGGATGGCTGCAGCAGTGTTCATCTTAGTAGGATACTTGTCTTAATCTCATTAGGGTTCCTTAAAAATTTTTACTTTTGTGCCATGTAAAAAAACTATTTTGAGGTCAAGGCTGATTGATACTGATTGTTAACAAAACTAAAGCGGACATATTGCCAAATCATTGAAGCTTTGCAACAAGTTTAAAGGAATGCTGCCCCACGTAATACAAGTTTTTACATGGATGAGGTGTTCTCAGGAAATTCAGGAAGACCTCAAAGATGAATTTTTAAGGCTAAGAAATCAGCTTAGAGAGGGACTGGCATTAGGGGTTTCAAAGAAGTATTCTGGATAGATTTTCTTGAAGGACATACAGTGATCACAGGCTTATCAAACAGTTTCAAGAAAATTTAAAACTGGTAAGAAAAAGGCCAGGAAAGTTGCACCAAGGAATTTTTTTCAGCACTACACTGCAACCTCTCATTCTTAAGCATAGAGAAGTGGCTATCCTAGGAGAATTTCATTGGGAAATCTTATACCATCCACCTCTGAGGGACCCGACCACTTGCCTTGATGTCTCCTGGGTGGATGCCTTCTTAATTGTGTCCACAGTCCAGCCTCTCCCTGACTCTTGACCTTCTACTCTCAGGCATATTGAGCCAACCTGGTCTCTGCCCTACTCAGAAAAATGTTTCAAAGCTCTTTAGCTCGCCAATAAAAGCCCAGAGACACTACAGACTGCCAGCAAGCCTCTTGCTTTTTCTGTGGACCAGGAAGCCTACCATGCCATCAACTACTGATTTTCTGGTTCTGCTGCTGTTTGTCTGCATCCATCCTTGCCCTCTGGTATTACAGTTCATTCATTCATTCTGTGTGTATGTGTCTAATCTGTCTGTCTCCTAGTTCTAGGAGATTCTCAGTGCAGGGAACTTGGGTCCAAAGGATGTATTCTACTTTTAGCTCTTCTTTCATGGTGGTTGTAGCATTGCCCCTTCCCACCACTGGCATGACTCAAGACTAACCAGTTAATCCTGTTGGTGGGCTACAAGCCTCTTCTTTGTATAGTTCTGTCCAGTCATTTTTTTGGGAATAAGAAGACCATGGCAAGAAAGGCTATATACAAGCAATCCATCACTGCAAGAATTCATGTAGGCTTCTCTGATGAGGGTGATTGAGATCTTGAAGTATGTAGGAAGTGGTAAAAGGTAGTTGCTGCTTGATGTATAAATCTGTGAATTCTGTGGCTTTCTTCCACTCTGCTTACTCACTGTAAACATGCAGTCATTTATTTTAGTTTTATACTAGAGTTTTGGGGAACAGTGACCACAAAAAAATACTCATTTAAAAAAAGTATTCACTGGAGAAAATCTCTTTAACAGAACTAAAAAGAAAATTGGTATTATTTCTCTGCTCTTTTCAAACCAGAACATAATATTTTTATTATATCGCTTCTTTAATGAAATTTTGCTGATGTTATATTGAAAATGGATAAAAATGTCTTATGTTTTTGTCTTAAGTCTTAAGCGTCAGTAACTGCCTTGCACAAGACTTGGTGAAAATGGTTTTGAATTGTTGAGGAGTTAGATGAACTTGCTAATTATTCACTTTGTATTTCTGTTAAGGTTTTATTCCAAAAAGACATTAAAACTGATTTAAAATGTATTGCTAGTATTTTTACTTTTTTTTTTTTTTTTAATTAGGTGTGTATCAAATCAGCAAACAAATCAAAGCTCATGATGGCAGTGTGTTCACATTTTGTCAGATGAGAAATGGAATGTTGTTAACTGGAGGAGGGAAAGACAGAAAAATAATTCTGTGGGATCATGATCTGAATCCTGAAAGAGAAATAGAGGTAAGAATGGAAACTGAACGTAAAATGTAGACATACTAAACCCTCTGAATGCATTTGTTTTTTCTCACCTTAAAACAACTTGCACTTTTCTTGAAGAAAGATCAGAGTAGTCAGCTTGCTTTTTTACTTTTGAGACTGTGTTTTAGTGGTCCAAAAAAATCTTAACCATGCAAAACAAAAATTCTGCAAACATTAAGTATTGTATTCAAATCTAGGATATGCAAGATGACCAGTTCAGTTTTAAATTTTGAAAACAATGGGCTTAGTGATAATCAGTAATTGTGTGTGTGTGTGTGTTTCATGGCATGGACCAAGTTTATCTATTGTTAGGTGCCACTGAGTCCATTTCAACTCACAGTGACCCCATGTGAAACAGTGTAACTGTCCCATAGTGTTTTCTTGAGTATAATCTTTACTAAAGCAATTCGCTATGCCACAGAGTTGCTGGGTAAATTTGAACAGGCAACCTTTTTCTTAAAAAAAAAAAAAAGTTGTATTGTAACCAGAATGAAGGTTTACAGAGCACATCATTTGTTAGACAGTCAACAAATCAAACAGTTAGTTTAATTTCAGTCCCATCCATGTAACATCAATTATCACACTTTGTCCTTGAGATTTTTATTCCACCCTCTTTCCCAACTTTTCTGAACTTTTTCCTTAGATAAATGCTGCTCATTTGATCTTGAATGGTTGACCATTCCATGATAAACATACTTTTACTAGTGCTTCTCATCCCCCCACCCCCCCATATACCTGAATATTAATCCACAATCTTCCACAGAGCGTCAGTTCAAGACCATACATAAAGGATGACTGAGCATCACAGACTCAGGTTCCTCCAGTCTCTTTTTGACTGTTGTAAGCCTGGTTGCTTTAATAACTCAAATTTTGTTCCACATTTTTCCCACTCTGTCTGGGACCTTCTAACGTGATGCCTTCCAGAGCAATTGATAGTGATACCTGGGCATCATCTAGTTCTTCTGGGCTCAGTGTTATGGAGATGTTCACATGTTCTGTGAGTCCATAGGACTAATTGTTTCCAAGCGGCTTCAATTTTTATCACTCTTCTTTCCTCTTCAAATGATTCTCTATACTGGACAATATTTGGATGCTTCATGTTTGCCAAGTCTGCGACATCTCTTTTTGATTCTTCCCTTTTTTTACCAGACACTCTTGAGATGTTTAATTTCCTTGATAATATATTGTCTGCCATCTTCTTTGGATTTAACAAAAACTGCTTTTCCAAAAGAACCTTCTTCAATCTATTGTAGTCTAACATACTTCTCCATGGTTCTTATTCTAAGGCATTCATATAGATGTACTCAATGCCACAGAGAGCTTTAGTAGAAATAATGGTGATGATCCGTAAACATTAGTCTAGGTGTGGCAGTCTTAGCTTATAAGGCAGAGGCACCATTCCACGCATGGAAACTGCTTGGGATGTCAAAAGCGACTCCTTGAATTGACAACCTGTTGCATAACAGCCAAGTGCTTAACCATTTGTCCCATCAGGGTTACTTAACTGTTATATACTCAGTCAAGTGTGCTAATTGAATTGAGCTCTCAGAAAGTGAAATAATTTTAGATCAGTCGTTCTCAAAACAGTAGCAAATCTTGTATTTTTTCCTGGTGGTTTAAAGTTTTAATTTACTAGGAAGACGATCCTGATATTATTTCTTCTGAGTTTTATTTCCAAGAAGATAGAAAATGTTGAGTTGATTTGGTACAACCTGAAGTTCATTGTAGAAATTCTACTTCGTTTACTATTCCCCTTTTTCACAAATAACTCACACATCCTTTGTAGTCAAAAGCTATATAATGTAGTTCACTCTTCCTTTGCCATTTCTGACATAAATTTGGAATAATTTCAGAAATCAGTTCTTTGTGCTTTTAGGAATCATTTTGGATCCAATTTCATAAAGGTGAAAGAATTGCATTATTTTAGAAAGAATGGTTTTCTGAGATTATAAATGTATCAATCTAGCATTTAGTTAGAGTATACCATGTGCATTAAATGAAATTATCTTCCAAGGAGTCGTACTAATGATAGCTATAATACTTTGCAATATATTGCTTTTTAGTCTGCAAGGAAATTTCACATGTGTTGTTTTTATATTATGATCCTTAAATAGTAATTAAAAGTAAGTTGTTAAGTGCTGTTGAGTCAGTTGTGACTCGCAGCGGCCCTATATCAGGTTTCCAAGGCTATATATCTTTAAGGGAGCAAAATGCCTCATCTTTTTCCTTTGGAGCAACTGGTGTACTCAAACTACCAAACCTATGGTCAACAGTTTGGTGCTTATACTACAGAGCTGCTGTACTCCCAAATGTAGGTAGGGTAGGCATTGTTAAGTTGTTGTTGTTGCTAAGTACTATCTAGGATAAACACTAGACTACTAACTGCAAGGGCAGTGGTTCAAATCCAGTAGCCACTCCTTAGAAGTTCTGTATATAGGGCCACCGTGAGTTGGAACCTGATAGCAGTTAACAACAAACAGCATTTTAGGTAAAGAAATTTGGACTAGATTAAGTGGCTTACTCAAAGTAGCAACTAATAACAAAACCAGACTACCTTCTTTATGTAATCTAATAGATTTACTCCTTGTTCCCCTACCCCTAACCCTTACATCTTGAAATTATATAAAAAATAGATTTTAAATTGACAGAAGCAAAGGATGGTGGTAATAATGCATTATAACTTCCTTGTAATAAAACTTAATTGTCTGAACGTGGACCACAAATAAATTGTGATTAATATAAGGTTGCCATATTATTTTCAGATTTGCAATTTTAAATACCATTTATTACCATATTGTGGTTTACAGAGGAGTCCCTGTGGTAGTGTGAACCATTAACACAAAAGTAGCTAATCACTAGGTTGGTGATTCTAGTCCACCCAGAGGTGCCTCTGCAGAAAGGTCTGGTTGTATACTTTCAAAAAGTCATTAATTGAAAGCCCTATAGCGTACATGTCTGTGACACATCTGGGATCTCCAGGAGTCAGAATTGACTCAACTGATAAAATTACCTTCAACTGTAATTACGGTCTTCAGGTAGTAATTAGTACATGATAAAGTGTTACATAGAGAACTATTACAAGGATGGCTCAGGACCGGGTAGTGTTTCATTCTGTCAAACATAGGGTCTCTGTGAATCAAAATGGACTCAACAGCACTTATCAACCACAGTGTGTATGTGGTGACTTTATAGATTTATTTTTTCTAGGTTCCGGATCAGTATGGAACTATTAGAGCTGTAGCAGAGGGAAAAACAGATCAATTTTTAGTAGGCACTTCACGGAACTTTATTTTACGGGGAACATTTAATGATGGCTTCCAAATAGAAGTACAGGTAAGCTGTGTGGTTTTAATTATTAACTATTTTTTATGATACCTTTTGTTTTTTTTATAACAATGGGTGTATTTAATTTTCAGGGTCATACAGATGAACTATGGGGTCTTGCCACACATCCCTTCAAAGATTTGCTCTTGACATGTGCTCAGGACAGGCAGGTGTGCATGTGGAACTCAGTGGAGCACAGGCTGGAATGGACCAGACTTGTAGATGTGAGTGAAGCAGATGTGATTGTGAACCCCAGGGAAAGCTCCCCAAATGATTTAACATGTTTTATATATAACTCCTTAGCTAAGAGGGTGGAGGGAGGAAAAAGAAAGTGTCTAGACACAAAGGCTCCCCTTTTGTTTTTAAACTTTATATTTTGAATTGAGTATATCATCAGATTTACATTAAAAAATCGTACACTGTATTTCATCTCAGTGATTGCAATTCCCTCCACATACCAACAGTTTACAATATTTACCCCTATTCACTTTATCTGTTACATCCCTCCTAACACAGGCCCATTTTAAAGAAGGGAATCAACAGGGTAAAAAAAATTCAGTTTTTCTGTCAGTGTCATTTGTGAAAATCATAAAGTCTTTACATGTTCTTGAAGCATTAGTTGTTAGGGAATTTTTTGGCCTCTGGTGGTGTTGCAGTTGTATTTAGTACATGCTGCTCACTAACAGACTCTATTTCCTGTCTTTCTTGTGAGTTGGTCTTTTGCTGTGTTATCTCCCAGTTCCACCCAGTTAGCACCTTTTCTAGCCCAAAGGTATATGCAAGTTCTCTTTAGACTCTGAAGAACTGTTTTGTTATTTTCCTTATTTTTGTTCCACTGCCTAGTCATAAATTTGTCCTTTCTCCTCACCACTCTGCCAGAATATTGCTCATATTCCCTTCCTGCTCTGAAATTCTTTTTCTTCTCACATTCCATATGATGTTTACCATTGGCTAGAATAATGATTGAAATTCCATGATTATATGAAACAAGTTATTTTCAAATGTTTTTGCCACTATTCCCATAGATCTAGGGAGACTTTCTGATGGACTTCCCAACAGCTGTCTGTCTCTCTTCTAGGAACCAGGACACTGTGCAGATTTTCATCCAAGTGGCACAGTGGTGGCCATAGGAACGCACTCAGGCAGGTAGGGTCTTTAAGGGAAATGTGAGCCGACTAATCGGAAGTGGTGGGATGTGTAAATTGTGATTTAGGAATATGCTCAATCTGATCTGGAGAATTAATATCTTAAATAGCACACTAATGTGTGTGTGGCTCTTACCTGTGTTAGCTAATGATTCAGTCCTTCAGTACTTACTGAACGTATCTACCACTGAACGTATCTACCATTTGGTAGACACTATTTTGAGCATTCAGTATGTATCAGGGAAGAAAATAAAATTTCTTTCCCTTACTGAGTCTATATTTTAGTAGGGCTGGGAGGGTGTGGGAAGCAGCATTATAATTAATTACAATATATCAGGAAGTGGTAAGAGCCATGGTGGTGATTGGTGGTTATGTGCCGTGTAGTCGGTTCCGACTCACAGCGACCCTGAACAGGGTTTCCGAGGCTGTATGGGAGCAGAAAGCCATCTCTTTCTCCTGTGGAACCACTGGTAGTTTCAAACTGCTGACTGTGAGGTTAGCAGCCTGACTCATAACCACTACACTACCAGAGCTCCTTGATGAGAGCTATGGAGGGAGACAAAATGAGTGTAGAAGGTTGAGCGGGAAGTGCCGTGCCGAGTTGATAAATAGGGTGGTTGGGGCAATTTTGTTGAGAAGGTAATAATTAAAAAGAGGCTTAATTTTCCTTTGTGAAATTATAGAATTATCAGAAATTTTCATTATGTTTAATTGTAGGGAAGGGAATTGAAAGTTGTGCTTTAGGTTTTGTTATCCTTTCCTTTTTGAATGCCACACAGATTCATAATAAATGTGTATTTCCTGAAATCATTATTGTCTGTACTCCAGACCTCTTACACTACCTTTCAAGGTTATTAAGTGACACATATTATATTATCTATGCTAGTAAGTAGATCTCATCACAAATAACTTAATTTCTTTTTAAGGGAGCATGGGGGGGCGGGGGGGGGCGGGGAAGTAGTCAGTTTTTCCGAAAGTTAAAACCATAGAAAGTGTGGAATACTGATTTATAGTTGAATCTGTAGTGAACACATTTTTATAAATCTTTTTTTAAAAAAACATCTATAACTTAGATGTTTTTAAATCAACTAATTCATTTAACTCTAAATTACCCCCCCTCCTCTCTTAGAATTTCATCATTTAAAAGTTTTTTTATAGTACATTTTCCTGTATCTGTTGGACAGAAATTAACCCCTCTGGAAAGTAAAAGATGTTCAAATTCCTTCTCATATGTTGTTGTTATGTGCCATGGAGTTGGGTTTCCGAGGCTGTAAATCTTCACGGGAGCAGAAAGCTTCATCTTTCTCCCACAGAACAGCTGGTAGGTTCGAACTGCTGACCTTGCAGTTCACAGCCCAATTCGTAATCACTACGCTACCAGAGTTTTCATATGTAGTGCTTTGAAAATCTTTTGGAATTCTAGCAAAACAGATCTTTAAAGTTAAGATGAACTTTGGGTATGTAACTAGAGATAACTATTTGAGCAGTTTTTTTAAATAATTGAATTTCAGAATTGAGCTCTTTCAGAGAGCAATTGGTGTAATTTGCTTTACTATCTCAGACTCCTTCAAAACATAGTAGATTGTTGTGTTGTTATTAATTTGTCGTAAGCACACAGGAAACAACCTGCTGTAGTGCTTAATCAGGTGTTCAGAAAATCTCAAAGAAGGCCACTTTCAATATGTGTTTGACACCTACCTGATAAGTGCTAAAGTTACTGCAGTCTTAAGAGCAATAAATAGTTTTTTGAGCATTTGATATCTCCTGGTGCTAAATTCTTTTTTTGTGGTACTTCTGATATTAGCAAGATCCCAGCAAAGTTATTATTAACCTCTCAATTGCACAGAGGAAAACAAGATCCAGAGAGCTTCGGTCATTCAAATTCTATGTGGTCTGAATCCTGTCTTTTTCTGCTACTCCACTAATAACTCTTGAGAATTGCTTATGTAAGTGTGTATATCGTTACTTAGAAATAATTGTAAAGAAGACTCATTTTTGAAAATTAAATCATTTGCTGGCATATTTTAAAGTACACACTATATGTAGTATTTGGAGTCCTGGTGTGGCGCTACAGGATAATGTGCTGGACTGCAAAGTCAGTTTGAACCACAAGATCGGAGGTTCAAGCTGACCAGCCTAAACAACTAATAGACTTTGTATTTCTGTAGATCTGCTTCTTTTGGATATTTCATGTAAATGTAATCTTACAATATGTGATCTTTTATGATTGTCCTCTCTCAGCATTATTTTCGAGGTTTGTCTATGTTGTAGCAGCTATTGCCATATATTCAGCACTTGGTAGGTAATTGCGTTGTTTCCACTTTCTAGCTATTATGAATAATGCTATTAACAAACATATACAATTTTTTCTGTGGATGCATGTTTTTGATTGTCATTCCAGTGACAGTTTCCACAGAACAAAGCGGTTTTGTATTCAACAATTCCTACACATTTTGTTTAGTGACATTGATTGCAGTCCACACAGTGTAACAGTGCTCTTCCCCCTCCCTCTCTGTGTGTCTATCATCTCCATTTGTCCTTCTTTCCCATTCCCTCCTGCTTCTGAGCTTGATCCCTGGGCAGATATTGCACTTTTGGTCTCTTACGGTTGATTGTTGTAAAAAGTGTGCATCTCCCTGGTATCATTGTTCACTGTCTATTGTTTGACTGAAAGTTGAGCCACAGGGGTGAGTTCAATTCCAGGCCCTGGTGTGGCACTATAGGATCAGCATGGAACTGCAAACCACAGGGTTGGCATTTCAAACCCACCAGCTGCTCCTCAAACTCTATATAGGGTCACTATGAGTCATGCCCTACTATATTCATGAATATATTTGTAGCACATATAACTATGTTATCATGTGCCATCAAGACAGTTCTGACTCATAGCAACCCTGTGTAGGGTTTCTGAGAAATGACTGGTAGGTTGGACCTTGCAGTTAGCAGTCCAGTACTTATTGTGCAGAGCCATATATAAAAATATGTGGATGTGTGTTTTAACTCACTGTATCTATATAGATACCTAAGAGTAGAAGTGCCAATTTTTATGGTAACCTTATGAATGACCTTTTGAGGAACTACCAAATTGTGCTCCAAAGCAACTGGACTAGTTTATAATCCCACCAGCAATGTTATGAGGGTTCCAAATCGCCACATTTTCACCATGTTGTCTGTATTTTGATTAGAGCCATCCCAGTAAGTATGGTTTTTATTTATGTTTCTCTGACAATTAATAATACTGAGCATTTATTTCAAGTGTTTTATGTATCCTCTTTGAAGAAATGCCTATTAAAAACTTTTATTTTGTAGGGTTTTTTTTTTTTCCATTTAATGTAGGGTAGATAGAAGTAAGGGTTAGGGTTGGGACTATGGCTAGATCTAGTCTAGATCTGGTGGTGGTTATGTGCTGTGGAGTCAGTTCTGACTCATAGTGACCCTATTAAGGGTTTCCAAGGCTGTAAATTTTTACGTGAGCAAAAAGCCTCGTCTTTCTCCTGTGGAACAGCTGGTAGTTTCCAGCTGCTGACCATGAGGTTAGCAGCCCAATTCGTAACCACTACGCTCCTAGAACTCTTTAGGTCTAGGCCTAAGACTTCATTTATTGTTGGGGTTATAGTTAAGATTAAGGTTAGTGTTAAGAGTAAGGCTTGACCTACTTTTTAGGATTACAGTTAGGGTTTATTTTTTATTTTTTTCTTTAAATCAATTTCATTTCCTCTTCATTTGGAAGTTCTTTAACTGTATTGTTCTCTCTTTTTAAGGTGGGTTTTTGTTGTTGCAACTGTATCTCCAGTGTTCTCTTTTCAGTGTTATAATAGGGCTGTTTTACTTTGCATGCTTGTATATCTGAGTTGAGTCTGTAGTGATAATGCAATGTATGTTAGTCTCAGGTTTTTGTCTCCTGTTGTGGTTGCTCTGTACAAAGAACTTCCTTTAGTAATTTTTTTGGAAGATTGGTATGGTTTTCACAAAATCTTTTAATTTCTGTTAGTATGAAAATGACCTAATTTCACCATCATATTTGATAGACAGTTTTACTGGATACATGAGTTTCGTAGGCAATTTTTTTCTTTCAGCTTTATATATGTCATCACATTGTCTTGTTCCCTGCATGGTTTCTGCTTGGACATCAGACCTAGTCTTATTAGTTCTCTTTGGTAGGTAACCTTTCATTTTACTTGAGCTGTTCTCAAAATTCTTTCCTTATGTTGGGTTTTAAAACATTTGATTAAAATATGTATGGTGTTTTTCTTTTGGGGTCTTTACTGTTTGGAGTTCATTCAACTTCTTGAATGGCTGTCTTCTCATCTTTCATGATGTTACGGAAGTTTTCTTCCAGTAACTCTAGGACAGTGTTCTCTCTGGTTTATTTTCTCTTCCTGTTTTAAATTCTTGTCATGTAAGTTATTCCTCAATTGTGTTGCACATAATTCTTAGGCTTTTTTTGTTCTTTTACTGCTTCCCTAGTAGATGACAGATTTTTCTTCAAGCTCAGTAACTCGGCTTTCCATTGATGTAGTTCTGTTTCTTTGCCCTTTCAGTGTATTATCTATTTCAGAAGCCTCAGTGTTAATTTTCTGGCTTTCCGATTGCTGTTTTTATATGGTTCCCATTTTTCAATTAGTTTGTCCGTTTGTTTCTTGGGTGTTTCTTTAGTTTTGTCTGTGTTTTCCTTGACTTCATCTGTAGTTTTCTCAATCTTTCTCACAATCCATTTACATTGCCTAATTAGCATTCTTTTAAATTAGGTATTTCAGATACCATATCTAGTGTTATATTTTCTGACTATTTTGGTCATTTGAGACACTCTGTGTTGTTTCTTTGTATAAACTGAAATTGTCTGTTTTCTCTAAAACATTGTGATACTTATATTTAGTTGCTAATTGTATAGTGGTATATTCTCAGGCACTATCACCTGTCCCTTGGTGGATGTGGTAGAGACCGGAAACGTGAATTAAGTTCTCTGTTCATTGTGTAGCATAGTTCAGGGTGGCTTTATGC